ATTCAAGAGAACATGAATTGTGACTAAAAATTTAAGAGTGGCAATCCTGGACGAATGTCACTGTAAGAGAACTGTGTCAACATTTCCTTTCGAACTGCTCACATCGTTTTTATAAGACATACAGCAGACGGGAAGCCACTACCGTACTGTGTTCAAGGATTGCGCGCTCCAGTCCAAAAAGCCTGCTCCAAGGCCGCGGAAAACTCGTCCCTGAATTTTTCCTGTTGTAGATTTAGCGGCGAGTGCATTTTTACATTAATAGTTAATATTTCATCTGTTTTTTTCAGTTTCGCATGAGATATGTGGGTTCCATGCCCGAAAACCTGCTCTGGTAAGTATAGAGCAGGGGATACATGCCAAAGACAATATGAAACAGCCCAGAGAGAAAGGTATGACACACCATGTGTGTCACGCGGTTCGGAACGGGTTTAGTTGGTAACTACTGCGAATGCACTCCCGCTGAGTGGAGATTGTTTACATAACCTGCTCCCAAACAGGCACTCTCGCACGGAAACCTACTTGATTTCTGATGCCTTAAATAGACACAGTTTAGCGATGGCAAACTGTTCGCCTTGTTGTCCTTCAAACGCCCTTTTCATTGGTTTTTGGAGCATCTTAAATAAATGATGAATTTTGTTTCAACTAGAGTTTCTAGCCTGTTATCACACGAATTCTGACTTTTGTATAAAACAAATCGTCCCAGTGAGACCCAATACACTTCTCGCGCAAATGTGCTACCCTTACACCAGCAAGATCTCTTTCTGGTCTCTTAGCCTGATGGCCTTTGCCACCAGATGATTTCCTTTGTTTTAGGGTTCACACATTGTTAAATGTTTGTCAAGGGTTCGATGACCCTATAGGCACAGGCACCGCTGACCAGCACCGGCTTTTTGATTCTGAAAGGTTATAGTGGGGATTCTCACCTTCATGGTGGAACATTAGAGGCCATCTGTCCACGACTGCAGGCGGTAGGAACCGGGAGACGGGCAAGAGAATCGTAATTTGCCGCTCCGCCGCGCGCGGCGATGGGCGCGGCGTTTTCTTAACTCGTGTTAACCTGTCGATTGGAGCACCGGACTTCATGTAGACCCCGTCATCGTAGACATTCATGACTATTTTCGGTTCTGAATTGCCTGTTGTCGCCATCTACTACCTGGAACCATCGTCATTTGCGGTGCGACGTCGCACGCGACGCCCACCAGCGCGGCGAATTACGATTCTCTTGTCACATACCCGTAGGAACCATAGCTTAACGACTCATTTCGTGACAATAGGATGGGCGTGTTCCGTACCCCTTATATCCCCTACATAAATATGCCCTTCTACCGCAACGGAGAAGAGAGGAGTGCTAGTTTTGCATGTGCAGTAGTTAGGACTCTCCGCCTACCCTACCAGCGCGAAATGAGTCCTTCTTTTTTTAGTGCAATACTGTGTGTACCAGGTTGCCACAAGCGTTAACGGTTTATGGCTTTTCATGATTGATTAATTATTTTTACTTGTTGTCTTTAATTTTGTTTTGTTTATTAATCCAACTATTCCGATCGATTTCCCGCGCGAAGAGTACGGGAACTTCTGGAATGGTTCAGGAAATTAGACCGCTACATCGCAGAGAGGGAACAGACGAGCAGTCCTATCGTGATATTGCTACGCCGCTACCTGCCCCCAACCCCCCCCCCCCTCTCCGCCTGGCCCTATGACCATTTCTTTCCCTGCAATTTGCCGTTATGAATCGCTTATGATCCTATCCTACAGTAGTACTCGCATACTGTCATTAATCTTGTGTACTACCATGAATTATGATGATTTATTAAATTATAATAAATTTAAAATAATGAAAAATGATTTTAGGGTATGAATATCGTCTGCGATTGGCTGTCATGCCATCCGAGGCGGACGTTAATCATTGTTTTCACCGTCCTCGCTCCCCTCTTAAGGTGTGCAAATGTTCATCCTCACTTCAGCAATTTAAAATTAATGAAATAATATAGTGAGGCATTATTCGGTGTACATTGGATAGTATAAATAGTAAATTCATGATAATTAGAAGATTAACAAAATAAAAACTGATCTAATTTTTCAAAACTTTTTCTAACTGTTTCGTTCCAGTTATTTCCTCCTATTTGAGTTGGAAATCCGTTCTGATGTACGCCGTGGATTTGCTCAAAAAGGAGGCCGATCAATTGAAGAATTCAAGGTGAGCCTTCTGGGATATGTCCCCCGGGCCAAACGCGCATAAAGTATCTCGGGGCAGGCGACCTTTACCAATTCTTGTTGACTTGGTTTACAGTACTGCTTTGCGTTCAGTCACCAGGTTCTGGTGCGAATGCCGCGCGCGTGAAGTCGCCTGCGAAGTGGCTTCTGTTGTGCAATGGCAGCTCGGATCTCTATGGCACCATCGTTTGCTTTCATTTTCGTTGCTGTTGATGAGAAATTTCATCATTCTCTGCCCGCTTTCTAGCCATTCCGGTTGTTGCCCCTCTTTTGCCGACCTGCTGCATTAATCACCTTTCGAGGGCCAAGCACGAGGAAATGGTGGCAAGTGGCCCCTCTTACTGAGATTGACACTCGTGCTGACTCGTACGGCTCTCGAAAACCAACTGGGTTCAATAAGTGGTACCGGACTTGTCTGCGAGGATAAGTGTAGATGTTCCTACAAGTGACTTGCCCTTTTGATAGGATAAATTACTTTCAAATATTACTGAGATTCTGAGTGACTTTTGACTGGAGTAACTAGCTTTCTCCAGTCTGACTAGTAGCAGGGCCTCTCCCAGATTCTTGGCCCCGGAGAGCACTCTTCTTTCACGCCATGTCGCAGGGGACAATGGCCGTCAACGAATTCGAGATTAAGGACAGGTCTAGAGTAACTCATGCGGTTCCCAGCATTTCCGCTTGTTCGCATTGCAAATAAAGGATCAGCAAGAGGGTTATGAATATTTTACTGCGCAAGTCGCGACAGGAGAAGGAGAGGCTCTCCTCAAGGGCTCCACATCCTAAAAGAGTCACTTAGTTGGACTGAGAACTTCATTTATTCTTTGACTTGAGTCTCCAGTGTAGCAATCAAAAAAATGAGGGGGCATTAGGCTTGACTTTAAGTTTCATTAAGTTCAGTGAAAAATCTACAGGTCATAGACACTCCAAATGGAACACCCACTGAACGGAGCCCGTATAATGAACATCAGTTAAAGATTTCATAGCTTAGTCCCTCAAAGGCGGAGTTCGCGATGAACCAGCGAGGAAGCCAGCGAGGAATGGCATTCTGTTTCAGAAATAGAACTGTACGTGCCAGTTGATTACTCGGGAATTGAGGAAGCAAACATGAGATTTCCCTGCCTTAAATCGGCGTGGTTCTCGGGCGAGAGACCAGACAGGAGGGGGCCAAAGGCATGCAGACGAATAAAACAACCGATACGATAAATCTATCAAGGCGGGGTCACTTGTGCACCCTTGCGCTTTACAGCCACAACCTCACAACTACCTGCCGCGAAAGTACCGGATTGTTGTTGTGGTTTCCACTCCTTCAAAAAGCATAGACACTTTTAGATGGTCGTGCCTTCGAAGCCGTTTAAAGGCAGAACTCGCGATTACGAACCCGCGAATATTCGCCATCTCAGATTGTGGAATAGGGGGTTCCATATAAGACGATAAGGGGTTGAGTAACTCGAAAGTGAAGAAAAAAAGCACAAAAGCATGCCAGCTGCCCCAGATAGAACCCATTCCAATCCCAGTTTGTACGTGCTGAATCAACTCCATCTCCAAGAGTACGCCCTCACCTGCACAGCTAATTTCCAAAACTCTACGATCGTACATGTGACGATTTTCATGCTATTTCGTCCTGCAACCTTTTTCACTGAAAGACGGGCACTGGAGACGGAGCCTGGCGGAATCACTGGAAAAAAGGAGGAACTACTGAACCTATATCTGCGCTATAGCGCCCCTCCCTTAGTATTTTTGCCGCAAACCGGTACAAGGTGTTCGTCGCGGACCACTCTAACCTCCTGACGCCATATTTTCAACCTTCTTCCTGTTCGCGGATGGTGCTTTAACAGCCCGTTAGGGTGACCCTCAAGTGCTGTATGACGAAGTCGGAAGAAATAGTGTATCCTGTGAAGAAAGCGACGAACTGTGCATTTGAGGCGTCCCATTAGGTCTGCTAGTTGTTCAAGGAGCTAAGAGCCGTGGAAAGAATTTTTTCTTGGCTTTTCGCCTGGGACAAAGACATGGTTACAGCTGCCTCAACGGCGATATCTCATTGAAAAGCTCAGCCGCCCGCCACTACGTTCAAACGAAGCACGCAGCCACGCCCACCCCTCCTCTGGTATAATGGACTGTTTAGTCTGCAGACCAAACCACATAATGTTGTCTTATTGTTTCGGTCTACCCGCAGGTTCGGGGCCGTGAGGTGGTGGTTTTACCAGCCAACCTTATGAGAGTCAGGTCCTCACTAAATGTCGCCCTACGAAAATCCCTGTTTGCTTCCTTTGGGCTCCTTCTATGCGCAAACTTTATAATTTTTCGTGGATTTTTCCTTGGCTCTATGTCTCTTTGGCTGCAATATCTCTCAGTGTTTTTTATTATGCCCGCTGCTTCTGTTTTTCGAGTTTTTCAATTACCTGGGTGATTTTGAAAGATACGCATTAACAAAATTAGTCACAGTGGTAGAATTTCCTCAGAATGGCTAATGCGTTGTATTTCCGAGAAATGATTTTCATTGCCATATGGCTGTTTTTCTGGGAATGGCATTAAACCTGTTAGTGAGCGGTACGAAATTTTATGAGCGACATTACAGCATAGCAATTGTGGACATCACTCGTTTCCGAGGACGGCTTTTCCAAAACAAGGCCATAAACAGAATGAAACCCTTCTATTTTCCTCAAAAACTCATAAATCTGTTGATTATTACAGAGATTCGCCGACTTCTACAACGTCACCAGTGATGGGCTGGGAAATATGGGTGCTTCTGATCACACCGAAACGAGCGTCGGGCCCACGAATACTTGAATATGTCCATGGAGCTGCTCAATGAGGTAATATAATACAGTGATTTTTTGAAAGGCACGATACATTATTTTGTACCCTCGTCATCCGGGCAGTTGATTAGGGCGTCTCACGGGCCATCAGCCTGTGTGCAGGAACTATTTGCTTTTTCCAGGCTAATTTAGTCATTTTTTTCCAACTTTTCACTGTTTTGGCTACTTTTTCCCAGATTAGCAGCTCCTTATCTTCACAAGGTGGAAAAAATGACTAAATTAGCCTGGAAAAGCAAATAGTTCCTGGCACGCGCTGCGGCCCGTTGACGACCGCCCTAATCAACTGCCCGGATGACGAGAATACTCCGTCTAAAATGGTAGCAGGGGCGCTGGCGAGAAAATGGCAAAAAGCGGAGTGAAACGGTCAAAAGCCTACAAAAACCCTTTGTTCTACTTTGCTCAGAAAGCACTTTCGGACGAGTTCCCCGTTGGCATCGTGCCAATAATCGCTACGGTGGATACGGCAGGCATGTATGTGCCAAAATCCGATGGCTAGGCATGCAGCTGTTACATATCAACCCTTATTCAACTGTATTATTCGCAAATGAAACGATGCAAACATTCAGCACGGGTCAGAAATTGTGGGCGGGACGCGGGGGGTGGCGGTTCGGTAATGTTGCATGCTGAGCGGGGCGCTATAAGCGGTACTTTCCTTAAAAAGACTCACGAAGCACCCTACTTAGAGGCTGAATTCTTTTGCTATGGCGTATTAATCCTACACATATTGTCGCCACTAGCCCTTGAAGGTATCCCGTCCGCGTATCCATATGGGCGCGTCTCAGGAAGAATGCCTTTTCTGCGCCCTCCATCAATGCAGAGAGGATGAGGAGCATTTCCGAGGGAAGCGCGATGATTTGCTGATTCCCGTGACGATTGGATGATAGCCATGTTGACAGCGAAATAGTGCTCAGTTTATTTGTTTATTATTATTATTATTATTATTATTATTATTATTATTATTATTATTATTATTATTATTATTATTATTATTATTATTATTATTATTATTATTATTATTATTATTATTATTATTATTATTATTATTATTATTATTATTATTATTATTATTATTATTATTATTATTATTATTATTATTATTATTATTATTATTATTATTGTTAGATAACTGCTGTTTAACGCCGCAGTGCGCGATACGAAAGTTATCACAAGAATGCTGAGTTGTGGGCAAAAGTCGGACCACGGGCGGGACTCGAACCCGCATCTTCTGCTTACCGGGCAGTTGCGTTACCACAACTGCCCGGTAAGCAGAAGATGCGGGTTCGAGTCCCGCCCGTGGTCCGACTTTTGCCCACAACTCAGCATTCTTGCTGATTATTATTATTATTATTATTATTATTATTATTATTATTATTATTATTATTATTATTATTATTATTATTATTATTATTATTATTATTATTATTATTATTATTATTATTATTAATGTTATTATTTGTTTATAATACGTGCTTCTTTTTTTCATTTCTCGAAAAACTTTGTTTATTTCATTATTTTCGAGCTTCAATATTTCCTTCTTATTAATTAAATTTATTATTATTTTCAAATAATATTGAAAATGATATTAAGGTGGAGAGGTTGGACGAATTAGTGCGGAACACAACGGCCACCTATAAAGGCCAAATTGTCCACTTCAGTGATCTTCACAAGGTCGATATCAACTATATATTCCACTCTGGTACAAGGTCAGCCTTTTATATTTTTCATGAAAATTTTGATTTTTCTGAGGAATTACCATTGCGAAATCTTGTTTATTCGTTTAGCACGCTTACTTCTGGTCGCACATTATTTCCGACGTCAATTTGTCGTTCCCAATCGGGCGAGCGATGGGGCACAAATTCTTCATAGGCAGTCATTTCTTCGGCGTCACAAGCACAAAGAGTCTGAGGTGGTCCAGTATGTGTTGTGATCACCCTTTAGGAATATTGAGTCAGACCAACCCTTCTACTTTGGTCGCTTCGGAAAGAAATGCGCATTGAAGCGCGTTGAATTTGTCCATTTATTTCTCTCCTACTATGGGTTTTTTCAAAACAGTTTTGTCATTAGAAAGAGATTTTTTTAATTGTTGCATTTTTGATGTGTTTTGTCTTGTATACTTTGTTTTTTGTTTTTTGAAAAAAAAACAGTTGGAAAGAGTGAGTGTCGCACCAGCTGAGCGACGCAAACAAGGCAACACGAGTGGCAATGGCCGGAATTCTTCTTCGTCGCTCCAAGAACAGCGGTTTTTTCGACTCTATTATTACATCAAATGAGATATTAGGTTGGCTAATAAGTAATGGCGGTTTTTTTCAATTGAAAAATTTGTTCGAAAAGTGAAACGTTTTGCAAGCAAGTTATATATCATCTGATAGGAAACTTCTCGTAGTATAAGAATATCAAAAAAGCTTTGGTTGAGGATATAGTTTTTGTGAATTTTTTAGTCGTTGAAGTTGGAAGTGAAGTCGGCGAAAATTAGCATCTTCGACAACTGCCTCTATTTACGTCTACTCGAAGTGCTAAAATCGCTTAAGCTGCTCCATACATTCGGAAAAGGTTGAGGTAGAAGTCTCAGCAAGGGAATCTCAATAGGACGCTTTGGAACTAATTTCAAGAATTTCAAAGTTGGCAACCTTCACCTTGCCAATATTGGGCAGGCTCACGTCTGTTCCACCCTGAAATTTCATGCTAATAGTTGAATTAATTGAATTTGAATTTGATATTCTAATACTACGAGAAGTTTGCTATTAAACGATATTAAGCTTGCTTGCAAAACGTTTTACTTTTGGAACAAATTTTTCGATTGAAAAAAACGGCCATTACTTATTAGCCAGCCCACTGCTAGTGGGCTGGCTAATAACTGCTAGTGGGCTGGCTAATAAGTAATGGCCGTTTTTTTTCAATTGAAAAATTTGTTTCAAAAGTGAAAAGTTTTGCAAGCAAGCTTAACATCGTTTAATAGCAAACTTCTCGTAGTATTAGAATATCAAATTCAAATTCAATTAATTCAACTATTAGCATGAAATTTCTAAATAGAGGCAGTTGTCGAAGATGCTAATTTTCGCCGACTTCACTTCCAACTTCAAACTAAAAATTCACAAAAACTATATCCTCAACCAAAGCTTTTTTGATATTCTTATACTACGAGAAGTTTCCTATCAGATGATATATAACTTGCTTGCAAAACGTTTCACTTTTCGAACAAATTTTTCAATTGAAAAAAACCGCCATTACTTATTAGCCAACCTAATACATCAGATGAGACATGGATCTGCTACGACAACGCAACGCGAAAAAGACAGTGGTTAGACGCCGGTGACACTCCAAAACCGACTCCGAAACCGGATATACACGGCAAAAAGGTGATGCTCTCCGTTTTTGGTGGAACAGCCAAGGTTTGGTGTACTTGAAGTACTGGATTCGGGTCAAACAGTTTACGGCGGACACTACAAATCGGCGCTGTTTGTCGACGGGGGGGGGGCATTTTGTACTATCATTGCTTCCTCAGTTCCAGTTTACATGTCTTACACTGGCGAAACCTGTGAACACTTGTGCAGCTGGAACAAGGTAGTCAAGTCATCTTGTTAAAACCTGTCAACTCGAGAAGAGGCTGTCTAGACAGGCCGACACGTCGTTGGGAGGTAGCAAAACTGATGCCCCCTCGGTCGACAAACTGCGCCCTACAAAGATCGATTGAACCGCGTGGATCAAGCATTGCAATGTGTCAAGGTGCCGAAAACGACGATGACCAAAATTCCTCCACGACAACGGCTCGATCCACACTGTGCCAAAAAGCAGCTTAAAATTTGAGGAACGTGCTAGAAGTCATTGCCTCATTCCGCCATCAGCCTATGAATGGCACCATTCGATTACCATCTGTTCCGCGTCAATGCAGCACTAATGGCCGAGGAAAGTTCACAAGCGCTAAAAGTCCAACTCTGGGTCCAGGGTACAGCATGGGGATGTGTCAAATGGCGGTGTGGGTACGACCCCCCCTCCTCGAAGAGGGTCCAGACACGACCCCCCCCCCCTCCTGCTCTAACTGACAACCAGATGCATGTTCACCACAAATGACTTCCTGAAATGGAATCTGGATTCTCGAAAGGCGCACTCTGCTCTAAAATACAGGAAATAAAAGGCTGTTTCAGCCTCATGCAATATGAGGCTGAACAACAGCCTCGCATTACCTACAATTTTGTCTTAGGATTCAAAATAAAACTCCTCGTTCGATAACTATGTATGACATGCAACTTGTAAAAAGAACACAATTGAAATAGCGGCTAATGGTGATCATTGATAGGCTGAATTGGTGAAAAAATAGCCCCAAGGTGAGCGTGTCAGGGCCCAGATGTGCATTCAATGAATGGTGACGGGGAAATAATGAAAACATGCACGACACAACAAAGCGAAACATGGAAAATACAAAAAATGCAGAGCTAAATGAAAAAAGGATAACCAGGCCGGCAGTAAATCGTTCCATACTTGGCTATTATCGATCAGGCTGCAGGGTGCAAGGCTGCGACCGCTTCCTTTGGAAAAACGTCATTGGAGCGCGGTTTTTTTACTTGCCAACGTCCTGGGGTCTGTTCGGGGGTTATATCTTTTTTTAGGTGCGGAGCTTTCGAGGAATGGTGAGCAGCATGCAACGGCAAAGTTTCTACTGTTGCGTATTCTACCTAGTTGCAAACTGAACAATCCCCGTTGGTGAAATATTCCGGATGGGTTTTGGATAGGCTAGGGGTAAATCGCGAGCTGGTTTCCATGCTTCACGCGAGGATTGCTTCGTTCAAACGCAATTTCATCAGGATTAAAAACGTCCTGAAACCCCTCCATCCTTTCTCTTTCCAACAAGCTTCACGGTTTTTCTGAAGACCCACTAGTTCAGGAGATATTTTAGATGGGTTACCCTTGCGCTACCCCCTGGACCACCCGAAAAATTGACTCCTTATGTGCCATTGTGAGGATACAGCTTTCAGTGTGCCTCCAAAATACATATTTCCCTTCAAATGAGTGGAAGAGGAGCTCGGCTATCACTAATCGGTGGTCCGTGCGCCGTGCATTAGGCTCCTACGGAGAGGTGGTGGAAAGGTGTAAATTCTAATTTCAGGTGCTTTTATCCATGCAAGCAGATGTTTGTTTAGGGTTTGTAAAGGACAACACGCACGAATCTGTTTGAGACGTATTATTTAGTCATCTACGTACTTACGAGTTATAAACTGACACTTATTTATTTATTTATTTATTCTTGCTATATTGCTAATAAATCTTTTATTATTTTGTATTCCTATTTACATCCGGGTCTTCTGAAGCTTTCCGTCCGTTCCATTACCCTTAGCAATGACACCTTTGTACTGTTTGATGCCTAGCGAGCCTACTTTTGCGATACTCCCCACGTCCCCCGCGGCCAAGTACGAACCCATTCTTGGGGATTTCCCATGAAAAGAGGGCTGTTAAACGTAGCATTTAAAGCTGTAAAGAATACACTCATAATAAACTTCATTTTTTTAAACATCTTGACTTCCATAGCTCCACTCCCACTATCAACTGAAATGTCGAAGCATTGCTCGGCTCTGAGTGACCCTTGAGATTACGACCCCCCTCCCCAGCGGCCAAGTACGACCCCCCTATGGGTTTCGCACAACGATGCTGTTACCTGGTCTGAGGTGCTGAATTCAGCTTATGAAATCGCAGTCCGGCGTTCATTCGAACAAGAGGATCATTTATTGCATAAAACCGTTGGCCGACAAGTCATTGATAGTAATGGAGATTATCTTTCAAATTAATCTTGTTTAATTTCGTTTTTATAATAAAAAAAATTTTTAGACTCAAACGCGCATTTCTTTTCGGAACAACAGAGCTCATAACGCGCATTTCCATCTTCAGCAGACATAGGATCGAATAGCACTGGAATTCATAGTCCGGAGAGCTTTCAAATCAAAACTCGGAGCCCAGGATTCACTTCAGCCCTTAGTTTGCGTACCCTTGGGTGTCCCACAGCTCCTGATCGTTAGCTCCCAGTTAACAACTAGATCAGTGACAAACTAGCGAAAGGGAGGAGTAAAAGGGGAAAAGGAGAGAAGCAGAGCAAAGGTTCCAGTGTAAAGCCACATTGTGCCCCCTTCACCCCCTTCTAGTATAGTTAAGGAAGAGAGAAGCTCATGTTACAAATGTTTTTTCGTCCACTCTTCCTCATACGATCACCGCCGACATCCACCAAAACACCTCATGAATACGGGGTGTGGCGCATTCTATCGTCGCATGATAAGTAGGTCGCGCGCTGTTGTGGGCGCGGGTACGAGTCCTGCTGCGTCGTGCTCGTTGAAATTGTTAAAATGATCATCAAGCCATATTGTTTATGTTAATCCTGTACTGCTTGTCCCATTTTCCTATGATGATCAATGATTGTTTTTTCCGCATTCAAAAGTAAAGGGTGTAAGACTGGTCCCACGTTATTTGTTCAAAATTACTGATCCAATTTTGGGCTTTTCGGAACTTGTGAATACGCGGTCTTCGAGACTCATTTGTATGTCGGTAATGCAACTCCGGAATTGTCGCACCGCGCCGCCGCGCGAGACGCCGCGACGCGATGTGCGCGACGTGACCTGACTTGCCGACGATAGAATCGCCCGGGTCCATGATACGGTAACTGAGTGTTTATAGCGAGGTCCTATCGAGCAAATGGAGTACGTTACGTTATGGTATATGGGTCAAGCGGAAAACTACACACAACGAATGCGTCTTCAAGCCCTTCAAATCGTGTTCTTCGATTTAGCCCGAGCAGATAATTTCAGCAATATGTTCAGCTTCGAAATGTACGGAGATCAGGTACGTTGCCAGCCATGAACCTACATTTCGCCTTTTCGCATGGAGACCGTCATTTCTGCTCCATTTAACGAGTTTATTATTCTCCCGCCACAGTTAGAGAAGGAATTCCACGATAGCCGTGGGCGTGGAAATGGGCGGAGACCACCGACCACTGCGCATTCGCTCTACTTATGTCGTGACATTCACCCCGCAGGTTCTTATATTATAGCATGTTCATTTGCTTACTTTTGATTGCTTTTCATCGACAATTGCCACCCATGCCGCATCGTCCCCCTCCCCACCCCTCCCTCCCGCTCCCCCTTTCGGCAGTTGCACGTGTCATCGGTCACTTACACGTGTTCACATTCCCTTGATCGACGAGAACGGATGGACGGTTTTCCTTGAACTGACGTCCCGCCTCAAGTTCTTTTCCTGACAGGTGCTATAAAAAACGCGTCAGAGAAAAGTGACTGGTGAATGAAGGAAGCGAAAGGAAGAAAGGAAAAAAAGAAAACTCTCTAAAATTGTCGGCTAGTTGTCTGCTTCACTGGAAAGGGAATTACCGGGACGCTGTTCGGGTTGAGAGGGGCATTAGGCACTTTCGCCGTTCCCTTTTGCTAGATCATGTCATTCGACAGGTATCAACCCGATGGGACCTGTAGACTCTTGTCAAATGTAATCGAAGCTGTTATTGTTGCATAGCCTCACAGGATTTCACGGTCCTTCACGGAAGATTCGCAGTGATCTTATTACGAAAATGCCCCCACCAAGCCAAATCACGCCAACTACCATTATCTGTAGGATCGAGAAACTTCGGAGATGGTGTAGTGGCGAGCGGCTGCGCGCAATCCGGGCATCAAACCATGAATCGGCTTTTGCCAGGAGCAGCCGATCCCTTAGAGATCTATTGTTTTTAACATACTCTTCTGTAGAGATGGAAAAACATACTTTCACATTGACTGGGACCCGATGAACTTTGTGCGGGTCAAATCGCAATCAAATCCATTGGTAAGGTAGTGAGTGAAACTAGGTTGAGGATAGGGTACGTCGACGAACTTTGGAGATCTCCATGTGGGGTGGTAGTCGGCCGCATGGGAAGGGAGTCGTTCTTGGCCTGGGAAGGTGAGAACTGAGAGAAGCACTGCATAC